AATTTATTAATTTATTTAAAAAAATCTATTTTCTTCGATCGCACGATTACCAAATTTTGGTATCAAACTTTCTTCTTACGAGAGCGAGCATCCATCTCTCTGACGAGATCCACGGATCTTGTCCAACGTGATCGACAACCGGATTTCGATTCGCCGAACACGCACCTCGGTTACGAAACGTGCATGTAACGCCGTTTCGAGAAACGCGGCATTCCCAACAAGGAATCCGTCTTACAGTGGAAGGGTAATTCCGTAGCTGGGGACTTAATCGCGGGAAAGCACGTGTTGCGACCGAGACAACATCTATCCGTGTTTCAAGGAGATGAGTTTCCATCTCTCCCCTCCCCTCCTCTCATTTCGAGCGCGGAGGGGATGGATCATCGATCAAATTTAACGGAAAACAAGAAACTTTGAAATTTCCTGTGAAATTTCGAAGCTCCAAAGATTTAGATTAATACGCTTAAGACGAGGTAAAAGATTGTTCAATCTGATGAATCTGATGTAGTAGTAGATTGTTTAAAGCTTGCTAATTAGAAAATTGTTGTTCCTAGAATTATGAAAAGTTTTGAAACTTTTGAGAACGTTTTATATGAATCAATTTTAATAATCATTTTATATATAGAATTTTGTACAACGAAATTCTTTTATTGGAAATTTTAAGTGAACTCTAGCTGAAATTATGGCCGAATTCTTATCTACTCAGTGTCGAACGTCACTTCGATTGAACCTGTGTTATAAACGAAAACACGCTGTATAATCCGATATATGCGATTAGATCTATATTTATTCATCCATTGTCTTCGTGGATAAATGGAATTTTACTCTTCCAACGTGTATTTCGAATCTCTCTCTCTCTCTCTCTCTCTTTCTCAACTCGAAAGAATTGATGCTGATCTCGTAATTCCAATAATCGAGATTAAACGCGATATCTGGCCATAGTTTCGATACTTGCCCCGAGAAAAGCCACTCCCCGTTCCGTTCGGTTTTTAATGGATGAAGTGGGGGAAGTGTGGAGTGCGAATTTGAAAAGCGAATAGGTTCCCCGATTCGAGGAAATTCGAGTGAAGATCATGATAAACGAGGGAAATACGTGATTTTAAGCGATCCTGGCCGCGGGGGCCACCGCGTAAACCGGTCGAATTGGAAGAGTCGTTGGCCGTAATCGGGATTGCGAGAAAGAGAATTATGCCGAAACGAACGAGTAATATCGATCGATCGAAAGCGGGGACCGAGTTGGCGCAAAGAAGAGGACAATCGCACTGCACTATTCGTGAATTATTTTCGAAGAAAAAGTCGCAATTAAAAAAGCGACTTGAGTCGTTTTGGGAAAAATGAAAGAGATTGATTCGGACGACAGAGAATTCTGGGAGAATAAGTTGAATAATTGGTGGATGGAAAATTTTTGAGAGATTTTTTCTTTATTCGATATCATATGCGATATCATATATACGTGTCGTTCTTTTTGCATGTTAAAGTGGAACTTCGTTTGTGTTTTGGAGGACAGGCAGACTCGTATAACTAGGTTATTTCTATAATAGAAGTCGATCCAATTTTCTCCACCAATTATGATTTTTCGTTCGATTAATAGGAGCTTATGATCGTACGAGAGAATTTCGTGGAAACGTTTTCTCCAATATTTGGATAATAGAGTATCCAAATTTTGCGAGCAAATGAATGAATTGTTCGTTTATTTATTTTTTTTCCTGTATCAAAAATATAAAATATATATTTCAAATTATATCTATTGTTAATTAAAATTAAAATTTACGCGAGTGGAATAACGTTTGGTGATAATTCGAATATACAATAAAAGTTTAGAATACGGATAATTCTAATAAAATTTCGTTTGTATAAATTGTATCCATATATATATACACATATACAATGTACAAATAATATTTGTACAGAGTTTTAATGTATCAATTATTGTAATTTTGATACAGTGATTCCAAATTCAATTCTTTTTCTTTTTCACGATATAAAGTGGTCAACAAATAGAGATTTCGAAATATTCTTTTTAAACTTAAAAATACAATGCGAATTAATAAATCTTCTCAAATTACAACGATACTAATTTCTCGTTTATATTGGCACAAAGATTCGAAATGCGTCTCCGTTACAAAAAAATTCGATTCAGTTGAATCGAATCAGTTGACGACGAAAAATACACAATTGAATTTAAAACGATACGAGTTTTCCCACTGAAAATCTCCTCCAGAGTGGTTCCACAATTAATTCGGCGAATGGCAGGTAATCTCTCATTTCACACGTGAGCATTTCTCTCGTAACGTAGTCGGTTTATTGTCTCACGCGGTGATTGTCTATTTTTTTTCTTTCTTTTTTTTTTTTTTTCGAAAATACACGCGCGATGATTCAAGCAATTTCAATTTGCGCTTGAATGTGGCCGGTTGAAGAAACATTTCCTTGAAAGCAACTCCTTGTACTTTTACACGTATTTCTGTATCTTGTCGCGAAAGACACACCGTGTTTTTACACGTATCTACTCGTTTTTCTGTGCGATGCTTCTAAAGTGGATTCAAAGAGGGTTTTTTTTTTTTCTCCCCGGGACTGTTTCTCGATTCTTTTCTCTTCGAGACGCTTGAAGCCGTCTACTTGACAGAGCTTTTAAGCGAACATTTTAAGTAACAGTTGTATAAATAATCGAAACGAGTTTCATGTTTTTTCTTTTTTTTCTTTTTCTTTTTCTTTTTTTTTTTTCTTTTTCACACGGAAAAATTACAAAGTTCGAATTAAAAATTTCGAAACGATGAATTCATAAAGAGATTGTTTAATCCGTGTATTCCGTGCAAAATTAATGCAAACGTTATTGAACAACAAAGCTGATAAATTTATCGAGCTTATTTCCCTTACTTAATTTAAAACGCATTATCCCAAGCTTAATTTAAAACAATGAATATAAAAAATCTATTTCTTTTTCCAACCAAAAGAAGCGAAAATAGAATTACAATAATTTATCCGTTTATTTATCCGTGTCGATATCGAGAAATCGTTTTGATCCGGTTTAATTTCGAAATTATGAAAAAAATGGAACATTTTCTTTTTTTTTTTTTTTTCATTCGACGAATTCTGTTTGATTAAAAAAACTGGTGTCTTGCCTCGTAATAACGCAATTCGGCCAAAACGAAATGGCGGCCTTTGATACATAGTATTTTTTCCCGCTAGCATTGGCGCATTTGAACGTAGCCGCGATTAATGACCTCCATTTGGAACGTATATGTAACTGCGGGATGGTAGGAGAGGCTGGCGGAGCGTGCATCAAACAGGATTAAAGAGCTAAACGAGAGACGTTTGGACAGCTCTATCAGCCGAGAAAAATGTGTACAGTGTGCATGATTTCTGTATACATTTTTGCCCGTTCTGTTCTATTTTTTTATTCCCCTCCTTCCCTTCCCCCGATGCAATTTTCCGCTCTCTGTAAGCAAAAATCGGCCGCGAAAAAAAAAGAAAAAAAAAAAAAAAAAAAAAAAAAAGGATAGTTTCTCTTTCGAACCGACAAAAATTTTGATCGTTTTTTTTTTTCTCTCTCTCTCTCCCCTCGCCCACTTTGACAACTTTGACATAGGGGAAAAATCATTTCATCGATTCTTTTTTCAACTCGTTTTATCATTCGACACGCGAAAATTGGCTTCGATTAATTCTCGAATCGAATCCATTATTCCGTCCGGGATATGATTTGTTCTCTTATTGGAGGGGAGAGGAAAAAAGAGGAGCACAATCTCTAACAGCGCCCGTGCTCTTCGTTCAACCGACGTTCAATGAAATATGCACGGTGTACACTCTTTCTCGGGGAAAATGGCGTTAAGATTGCCAGGAGGGGTTAATTGCAAGGAAATACGATAAAGCAGACGGAAAGGGAGTTCGTCGAGACGTTGGAAAATTTATGCGAACCGTTGGGGAATAGTGGTGAAACTGGATTCTGGGATAAGAGGTATACATCAAAATGGTCGAGAGCATGCTTCTTTTAATAAGGATTCCGATTTTAGTCATTTCTGTCTTTTGGAATTTCCTTTAAGCACGTTTTAGTTTTTTGTCTCTCTCTTTCTCTCTCTCTCTCTCTTTTTTTCTCTCTCTGAATAATCGTCGAATCGATGCAAAATAAAGGCAAATTTGCCTCCACAAATTTTTAAAATCGTTTCCGATTTATTTTTGATCCACGGATGGACGATATCTTGATTACGAAGGATGAAGGTATAATTTTTATTTTTTTTTTTTTATTTTAATAATAATATCTAAGAATGACGTTAAAATCTTGTTCGAAAATAGTAGATCTTAATTGAGCTATTCGAAATTGCCATTGTGAATAATTGAATCAAAGGGAATGACGACACAACGAGGTTGTTGGTTAAAAAAGAATTTGCATTTTTATTACAGTGACGTACGTTGTTGTTATGTTATGTATATGTTACAATACACAGCGTGTTCGGTATATCTTTGAGATCTTTCGATCGTGCAATCGAACAAAACGACGATCGCACATCTATCGACCGATTTTGATTTCGGTTCTACGCCACGCGATGGCCATCCAACCGTATTCCCTCTTCCTCCCTTTACATACCGGCCGAGTATCCAGTCCAGTTTCTCTTTATCACCTTAACTACAATTCCCAGTATATTACGCAACGTGGTATTATCTAATTTCCAATTTATTCCTGATAACATCCGTGTGGTTAGCCTATGATACAGCGAAGAGGTGTGCAATAGTCCCACAGTATCGAATGTACGTTCCCCGCCCAAGTGCGGTTCACTATGCAATACCATCAACGATATTGGAAAATCGCGATATCAACAATATAGCTGGACAATAAATTTCCGCTTCGATTCGCGACTCGCGAATTACTCGATTTTCGAGTCTTCTTTTTCTTCTTTTTTTTTATTTTTTTTTTTTCGTTAATTTTACTACGTCAAGACAAGCGGAATCAATGCTTCGATCCTAACTGACCTACTAATTTCGCTATATATAAAGAATCGTCGAAAGTTTTTTTTCATTGAAATTTTCTTCGAATTCTTCTTAAACTCTCTCTCTCTCTCTCTCTCTCTCTTTCTCGTTCTCGTTCTTTTCGTTCCCTCACTCACTCACTCGCAAGCGAACAACGATTCGATACTGTTCACTTATGTACAAATATATACGCGTATAACGGTATACAAGAACGGCCTGTACCTTGGTCGCGCGCGATTCATCATTGTCTGCCAGGTTGCAGGTCCCTTGGCGCGTTGCAAGCGGAAATTCAAGAATGCACTTACTCGAAACGACGCGACGGGTCGCATTGTCCCTCCCCCTCCCCCTCTTTACAGGGAATACCACGCGCACGATGGTTTGCCGAGCCATTTAGAAAACACAATGCATCGTGTACCGGGGAGGTCCGAATAGGTCCTTGCGTTGCGTTGTTTACCCGTAAATCGTCCAGCAAACGCGACGTGCCGCGTAATGAAGTTCTCTGATCCTTCGGGTTACAATTTCGCAGCCCGATTCACTGGATACACACAACACACCACATACACACACACACACACACACACGGGTGCGCACAACGATTAAACCTCATTCCCGTTGCGTTCCACCTCCGCGTAAAGGCTACATCGAACGAAGTAAAGATTCGTAGAAAATCACATATAAAACGCTCGGTTAATCTCTAGCGATCGCGGATCACTTGGCGTTTGCACAAACACGCGCACGTACTTTTTTTTATTTTTTTCTCTTTTTGGCTGAACGAAGATTTCTTTCCATCCCGATACGATCTTTCTATATATCGAGAATCCTCGTCCTTATTATACAATCGATATGACTTCGTCCGTTCGATCGAGGAGAAAAAAACTACCGCGAGTTTGGAGCGTTTCACGTTTGACACGTTTGACGTGGGAGAATTCGTAGAAGGTTGGATCAAACGTTCGAAACCTCCACGCCTCGGGAGTTTTTCAACTTGTCTCATACGTTCAGATTAGTGTTCCCCATGCTGTTGATGAAGTTGGACTGTTGGCCGTCTTGGCTCGTCTGTCTGGCCACGTGGCCTGCCTCCCCGCTCTGTATGCTGAAGTGCCTGTAGGAGATGTACTCGGGAGGGATCGGTTGCTCCCTTTTCACCGTCTCCCTTTGCTTCTTCACCTTCAGATAACCGAGGACGGAAACGAGGAGAAGAAACACAACGAATCCCATGCAGCAACCGACTATCAGGCCGAGGCGCCTTGTCAGGAAGCTGCTCACGCTTCCCACGTCACCCATCGACGAGCCGTCGCTACTGATCACCGCCTCGGGCGTCTCGAGTGTTTTCACCTCGGTGCAACGGCTCGTGGACGAATCCGCCATTTGCATATCCGACGACGATTCGAACGTCTCGTGGTTGGAGAAGTTAAATTGATCCACCGTGTCCTCCTCGAGACGTTGGCTCATCCAGTTTCCCAATCCAAACACGCAGATCAAATACCGAGTGTTTGGCAAGAGCTTGGACAATTTCGTGGAACGTGAATTCGGCTCGAGTATCTTCGCCAGCGTCTGAAACTTTTTATTTTTTCAAGAGAAGGAAAGGAACGAAGAAAAGACACGAAAGATTTCGACGATAATTTCGAAAAGAAAGAAACAAGTCTACGTGAATTTTTTTTTTTATCATCGTCGCGTTCTTTTTTCTTTTTTCTTTTTACCTCCTCGATGTTCTCCATGGCGTGATAGGCCACCTGATATCCCCGGATACCCGAGTGATTTCTACTCTGCCAGGAGACCAACACGGAAAACGGTTGAATGTCCTGGATCGCGAGTTTCAGGACGAGGGGCGCGGAACAGAAGGCGTGCGGGTCCAACTCGAGGAACACCAGGCCCCGCAATTCCGGCGGCTGTTGGCACCTCAGCAATCCGCTGTCCACGTCGTTCATTCGCAACCCACCCCCTCGATTTCGGGCAACGCCGCCCCCCACCAACTTCTGATGATCTCGCAGCCACTCCCAAAGCTCCTGGGACTCGCAGTCGCAATGCAGTGGATTCTCTGGACACGAAACAACGATTTAATTCTCTTTTAATTGGAAGAAACAGTTGTCTGCGGCGACAAACACCGACGAGACAGATTCGACGAACGCTTCCGTAAATCGTAAGAACGAAAGAAGAAGAAGAAGAAATAATACTCGAAGAATCATTTCGATTTACCTTCCGCGCGAAGACTTCGTATTTGCGTCTCGAGTGGCCTGAACGCGTTCAACGGTAAATTCGCTAAATAGTTTCTGCTCAGATCGAGGATTCTCAGTTTCTTCAACGGTTTGAAAGCGTCAGGCGAGATGGAGGATATCCAATTCCCGTACAAATGAAGCTCGGCGAGATTCTCGAGATGTTGGAACGTGGTCCTGCCCACTCCGCTGATCTGATTGTACGAGAGGTCCAACACTTGGAGAGCCTTCAGATCGGGCGGGAAATCTTCCAGCTCCTTCAACCGATTGTGCGTGAGATTAAGTATCCTCAGGTGTTCCAACCCTTTCAACCTCTCCTGCGGCAGGAAATCGAGCTCGTTCACGCTCAGGTCCAAGGTCAGTAGCTCGATCAAGCTGCGAAACGCGCTCGGCGACACCCTCGAGATCATGTTGCTCCCCATGAACAGGTGCATCAACGCCGGAAACGCCTCGAAATCTTGGCTGGTTACTATGCTCAAGTTAGTCCCCGATATGTGTATCTCTTGGAGGGCTGGGTACTTGGCCTTCGAGCTGATCTCGTGTATCCTGACCAATGGATTTGCGGTGACGTTCAGCCAGGTCAGGTTCGGTACGTTCTGCGCGGACAACGCGACAGCCGGTATCTGATGGAATTTGTTGGCTGCCAACTCGACTTTTCGAAGCAGGTTCGAGCGGGCGAAGAAGTTTGCGGGCAGGGCGGTCAGGTGATTGTTGCTCAGGTCGACGGATATGAGACGGGATAGGTTCACGCTTGCGAAACCGGAAAGGGATATGATGTAATTGGCGCGTAGATCGAGCTCCCGAAGACTGGCCAATCCGTTCATCCGCGACATGTCCACGTTCACGATCGCGTTGTTGGCCAACGACAAGAACTCGACTGTGGTCGCGTTCGCGAACACCTCGTACGGGATCTCTTGGAATTGGTTGCCGTCCAATCTCACTTCCTTCAACGCGTCCAAACCGAGGAAGAGCAAGGTGGGCAAGGTACGGAGGCGATTGTTGCTCAACAGAAGCTTGGCAAGGTTCTTGTTCTTCGAGAATATCTCCGGGGGCATTCTGTACAATTGGGAGGAGTCCATGGCCAGGTGTTGAAGGGACGGCAATCCGTCCAACGAGTTCCCGTTGATCTGACTGAAATTGTTGTACGATATTCTGAGGACTCTCAATCCCGGGATGTCGAGACGGTTCAACGTGGACGCGGTGAGGTGATTGTGCTCCAAATTCAACTCGTACAGGTTGTTCAATCCCCTGAACGCCCCGTTCTCTATCACGCTCACGGTACAGTTCCTGAGATTCAACGTTCTGATGGGCAATCCCTCCTGGAAGATCTTGTCGTGGAGCACGTTCAAGTGATTGTTGGCCAGGTCGAGGACGCGAAGTCGCTTGAGGGCGGTCAACGCGTACGGGTCCAAGCGTCGCAGCCCGTTGTCCTGCAGGTAAAGTTCCTCGAGCTCGTGCAATTCCGAGAAAGTTCTGACGGTGACGTGGCTCAAACGGTTCATACTCAGCTCGAGGAATTTGAGCGCCTGCATCGGTTGGAAGGCCGTGTCCTCGATCCGCGAGATGGAGTTATTCGTGAGATATAATCGCTCGACCAGCAACAGGTCCCTGAACAAAGGAGCCTGGAGACGGGTTAATCTGTTGTGACCGAGCCACATGATCCTTACCGACGCTTGCCCTCTCAGAGAGTCGTTGTGGAGCACGCCGAGCCCGTTGTTGTCTAATTGAATCGAGACCAACGAGCTGCCGCTGTTCCCATTTTGGCCCACGTCGTTCGACACTTGGAACACGTCGCCCAACACCGCGAGCAGATTACCTTGAAGATTCACGTGCTGCAGACTGTGCAGGGATCTCAGAGCGCCCGTCTCCATGTCGGTTATCGCGTTATTTTGCAGATGGAGCTCCAACAAGGATGGCAACGGGGCGAACACGCCTCGCTTCACCTCGGTAATCTGATTGTCCTGCAGTCGAAGCTCCCTCAACGATTTCGCCTTCGCGAATGTTCCCACCTCCAATTCGCGGATGTTGTTCCCATCGAGGGACAACGTGGACAGATTGTCGCAGTGCTCGAGAAAATCGCGCGGCACTTTCTCGATGTAGTTCCCGCTCAGATGCAACTGGGCCAATTGGCTCAACGTGGCCAGACCCCTAGCGTCGATCCTCCTGATCGCGTTCTGTTGAAGATAGATCACCGACAGGCTCGTGCTACCGGCGAACGTCTCCGCCGGTATTTCCAGAATGTTGTTCTCCGCGAGGAACAACTCCTTCAACTCGGGCAACTTGGAGAACACGCCGCGTATGTAATGGATGTGATTGTTGCTGAGATCTATCGATCTCAGCCTTTGATTCGCCCTGAACGTGTTCACGTCCAGGGATACGATCTTGTTGTGGCTCAGATCGATGGACTCGAGGTCGATCAACGAGATGAACGCGTCCTTGTCCACGAACTCGACCGCGTTGTAGTACAGAGAGAGAATCTTCAGGGACGGGCAACATCGGAAACAATTGAGCGGTATCTTTTTGAAATTGTTGCTGGTCAGATCGAGAAAGTTGAGGGCGTCTAATCTGGAGTATCCGTCCTCGGGTAGCTCGGATACCTCGTTCCAGGCAAGCCTGAGAGACGTCAGGTGCTCCAATCTCCTCAGGGACGTCATAGGGAATACTCTGATCTTGTTCTCGGCCAGGTTCAGATCCGTGAGAGTGTCTTCCAGCCCGGCGAACGCGTACTCCGATATTTTTATTATCTGATTCCCCTTCAGATTCAACTTGATCAACGACAATCCGTAAAAACTGTAACTGGGAAGCTCGTGGACCAGATTCGCCTCCAAGTCGAGCGCCTTCAGGGAGGACAACGTGGCCAAAGCTTTCTGCGGCACGTGGGGTAGCCGGCCCGACACCAACGCCAACGATTCCAAGCTTTTGCTCAATCGTTTGAACGCGTCCTCGCTTATCTCGCGTATCGCCGAGTGGGATATCTGCAAATGCCTGATCTGAGAGCCGGCGGGGAACGCGACGGAACGAAGCTCCTCCACTCTTCTGTCCAGCTCGTAAACGCTCAGAGATTGAACTATCGCACCTGGAACCAGAGACATTCGGATTCATTATTCCACGTTATTCGTCGATATCGCCTAACTCCATTTACTTACGCGCTCGTCAAAAGGGCCACGAACGGCGAATCGGATCCTTAACGCTAATAGGATTTCCCTCTACTCCTGATTTTTCGTTCGAGTAAGTCGAACGCTCGCGTTTGGACGGGTGAATTCGATCCTTGTTTTCAATTCGGGCTATTAGTCCGGATAATAGAATTCTCTTAATCGGGGGCATTGACGAAAATTTCGTTCCATTAAACGGATCACGGATAAACATCGGATGGTTAATGGAGTTATTCGAATTCAAAAAGATCAGCAAAGATCGAGATCACGATTCGTCGCGATATTCGTATCCGAGAAGGAGGAGGAGGAAGAGCAGGAGAAGGAGGAGGAGGAGGAGGAGGAGGAGGGAAGGAAGCGTAATCCCTTATTTATCCCAATGTATTCGTTGGTATTCGTTGGAGCAAGGTAAACGTACCTTCCCCTTCAGCTGCGTGTATCACACCGGACAAAGCGGTCCTCAGGGATTCCTCGGTGGCCCCGGCGCATTCCAGGAACAGCCCGTCCTCGAAATTGTAACAAGGACAGCCGGGCATCGTGTCAGGCGGCGGACACTTGGCGCTCCTCGCTTCCTGTGCCGTCATGCAGGCCGCCAACACCACCGAATAGATGAAACGGAAACCGTCGCGGTTGCCGCCAGGCTTTCGCCCGCTTCGAGACGAGCCCGAGTCCCGCCACTTGCGCTTCGTCCGCGGCCAAGTCGTCCACATATTATTATTATCGCGCCGCTCTGTTCCCGGCTCGTCCCAAACCGCTCATCGTTTCTCTCGACGACGATCGATGATGCTTCCCTGCGAAACGGATCGTTAACGCGTCATTATGCATGTCAGAGAAGCCTAGGTTCGATGAATAAGGTATCGATAAGGAACGAGGATAATGTCATCGAATTAATTATTCATAGTCGAAGGAAAGAAACATCGAAATGCCTCATCGAAATGACGTGGTATAATGTAATCGTGTATCATCCATTTATGCAACTAAGCAATTAATTTAGTACACGCTTTGAAGAGGTTTTCACGTCATTCTTAATATTTTCTTATCGTGGTCAGATTCTACTTGTATAATGCAAGTCTAATTCACTTGGCAAACTCAACTTTTGCAACCAATTTTTATATTTCGCTTTGTTTCCAGTATATTTCTTTTCCATCCTTTATCTTATCCATCTAATCTGATCTAATTCGTACAATCCCAAGCGTGGCATTGTAACAATAACTTCCAGAATTCCAGCCAGACCTGGTATCGTGATAAAGGAGCTCGTGCGTTTACAATAACTTTAAGACGTTTTTTTTCAAAACGCGCGTACGCGCTCGCGTGAAACTAAACTTGGAAACACCATGTGATACGTGGTCTGCTTTCGTAATGGTAGGTTAATAGCTCGGTCGCGTGCCACGTTTCGTCGGTTATTTTCGACGAGTCTACGTTTTTTTACCACTTGTATCTGAACGAGTACGCGTTCTATCGAAATAAGAAGCAAAGGGATTCGTACGTCGGTCAGGCAAAACGAGGCTCCACTACGAATATCCCATTCGACTATTTTGGTCAAATTGTAATTTGCATCTCGGTAAACGATTTTCACACGAGCGCTCGCGGTTCATTGTTTCCGCGCAGCCAGGCGAAATACGTGTTATCCGCTACGTGTTTGCTAAATTCTAGGTTAGGTTAACGATATTGCATTAATTTAACGTTAGAGACGTTAATTTTGTTCGCAATTTTGTTCCTTTGATCGACGATCCGCAAAAGTTAAAACCGATCCGGAAAACTAAAGAACGAAAATGGATGGAAAAATATATTCCGAGAAAATGATAATGTTGGTATATTTATATTTGGTTGGATAATGTTGATGATAAAAAAATATATACGCGCGCTTTTTCGTGCGTAATTCTTCCGTACGCTCACGAACGGATTTAAGATTTAAGATTGATCGATACCGGTGTTTTATTGTTCCCTTAGGTGGGTCAGGCAGAAAACGTAAACATTCTTAGCTCACCGAACAAACTTTTACCGCAAAGCTCCATAAGTTCTCGTGAAATTGATAATCTCGATGATCGAGATAACGTGGCAAGTTTACGTGGAATACGAAATTTGCACGTATTTGCATAACGATGATATATAACGCAAGATATAATAAATTTTATTCCATAGATTTTATAGATTGGACATTAATTATTTAATAGGTCATTCTTTCTTTTCTTTCCTTTCTCGTCATAATTACGAAAGAATTTATAGCAAGTTGTTGGAGCAAGCGAGGGTACAATTAACAGAGGGAATTTAATTAACAGATGAATTTCCGATGTCAGACAGACGCTCGGACTCGAACTCGACTGTACTCGACGAATGGAAGATTATAGATTCGTGAGCGAGGGAGCAAATACCGATCCCGGTTATGCATATTTTCGTGAAGTGGAATCGTATTCTTCCCGGGTACGACAAACACAGGCTGCAGTTGACGCGGCAAATAGAACGGCACGGCGATGTACTCGGGGCGAATACGATGGCATAAACGATCAGGCGGGGTATAAACGTTGGTCGTTAGGCAAATGGACTTGGACCCGAGCCTCGATTCGGGGAATAAACCGAGATCTGTTTATGATTTCGAATATATATATATATATACAAAAATTTATGTATATTTACATATTGGACAGGATCCGGCAAATTTGAATATCTTGAAAATGGATCGCGTGATTTTCGTGTGACCGTGTGAATAAACTATTCATAGGATAGGCTTTGCGTGCGGAATGGACATCCTATCCCAGTTAGGTTATTCAATAGTTGATAATGAACGATTAATGAACTGGAAATGATGAATTACGAATCTCACTATTGTTCACACTGTCGTACGAGGTTTTTTTTCTTTTTTTTCTTTTTTTTTTTTTTTTTTGGTAAAATATTATTACACGTTATTCATTTAATGCCGCACTAAATGGAATATAACGTTCTCTCACGAATAGTCGAATGATCGGATATCTAGGTCAGATAACTTTCATGAATCGTTTCGAATAGAAATAGTCTCTATTCCTCGTATTCTTTCATCCTCGCAACACTTCTCTTCTCTTTCCAGAGATTAAACTGGATATAGTGAAACTAACGAAGGGGGGGAGATTTTAATATTCTCGGCAAATAATTTCTCCTGTCATGAATTTAAACGCAATCGGTATCCATAAAACACTGAATATTAACGATTTTCATTTTCCCACATCCTCTTATTTTATAAATAAATCAATATTGATTTCTTTTTAAAATCAGCATCGAACTGAAAGAAATCGAGATGAAGAGATCCTTCAAAAAGATTCATCGAAGAAATTAAATTTAAAAAAGGAAAATTATTGCAGAACAATTCGTTTTATTTAATAAATCAAATTTTCTTTTCTCGATTTCACGATGTATTCCGCCCATAATCGTCTTCGTAGAGACACGGATTCATAGTGGCAACTGTGCGTCGTCCTCCCTTACTTTCTCGTGATCCCTAAGATCAGCCGGTCGTAATTCAACCGTCCGCGATAAATCTTCGCGGCTTGGATGCCGTCACGGTCGCGATGACCTGCGCCACGTTTGGAAAAATACACGGCCGGATCGGAAAATCCTGTTGTTGGACAGGATTTTCGATCGACGTCGGAAGACGTTCGTTCTCCCCCCCCTTTCCTTGAAAGGTCACTTGTTAGGTTGCGTTCGAAATTACACGTTTCTCAAAGGGGAGAGCTTGTAAGTTTCTCCCTAAGGTTATGCTCCAACATCGAGTCAGGGAACAAGTTTGTTAGGGGTTGTCCGCTTTACACGGAGGTTAGATTCGTTAGACGAGAGTTAGAGTACATACGTGGTGAAGTAGTAGAAAAATCAATATCCTCTCCCTCGGTGTATGCTTCCCTCCCTCCTGTACGCCTCGAGGTTTTAATTAATGCACACGCGTAAGCGTGCAAAGTTTTTCAACATTTACGGCTCGCGCGTGACTGTGCTTCAAGCTTGATTACGCCGCGCTCTGTTTATTAATACGATTTTTTTTAGAGGCGAGCTCCGTGCCCCTAATGTTGCTCGAAACGCGTGGATTTCATTTCGTAATTAGCGCAAAGTATTTACGCCTCCAGAATCCTCCATCCACGCTAATCAATTCAAGGTATATTCAATTTTCCTTTTCTTTTTTTTTTTCTGTAAAATATCCCAATATTTGTTTCCGCAATTTTTCTGCCGTTGTTGTAACGACTTTAACAACGTAATAAAGTATATAGCTATTTTCTTTTATTGTTACTTTTAACATTCAAAAAATTAGTCTGACTAAAATGGACCAAGTCTCGATGATTTATATTCGGATGTAAATCTGTTCTTTACATTCGATTTCGAGATTGATGGGTTTTCGAGAGGGGGTGACTCGTTAATTCGCTTAAGAATTAGGCAGCCTCGAGGATCAACTACCTCGTAGCCTTATTTTAAAGTTTAAGGAGGTTACGAGGAATCGACTGGAACGGCGGATAGAAATTTTCCTGAGGCTGAAGGAGGGTTGTCCGACTTTCTTGGCCTGGGAACAGCCATGAAACGGGCGCCACGTGCGCCCCATTGTTTCTCTATCTCCCGGGCTTGATTACAATTTAGCTGAAACCACGGTGTATCGCGTCTGAAACGCGGGGGAAGGGGGGAGGTGCACGTGCAGGCAATACACACGTGACTATCTGAATGGCCGTGTTATTACATTCCTCGTTTCGCCGGCTATTAATACGCTCTGAGATGCGTACGTGGTATCGTGTGCCAGTGGAACGATACGAAAAGGGAGGAGAGGGGGGGTCGAGGCGTCGTTGCTTGTTTCTCGTCGTCGAGAGAACGGCTCGTATGGGAAAGGACCGAAATATGGCAGGGTTTAATAAAGGACATTCGGCTTCCTCCCCGAGCTCGGGCACAGCTGTATTGCGAGAGACACTCGTGGCTTGTTTAATTAAGCGTCGCTGCGCCGCTTAATCTTCAAATTGCATCCGCCAACTTGAAACGCGCCAGACGAAATTTAATACTTTTTTCCTTCGTGGAAAATACCTTGGGCACGATGCTTCTTGGGGGGAAAAAATCTTCCCTTCCGTCGATTACAGAATATTTGTATTTCGTCTCGCTTTTTCCATGGCAGATACTTTAAAATTTTTAATAAATTTTTAATATCCCCTTTAGTGTCCCCTCGTAGACTGATTTGGTGTAAATGATTCTTCGTTTGAAAATGCTATTCTCAAGTTTTTCTCACGAAGTAACGAAAGCGAGGAGGCTTAAAGTTAAAGTTTTCTGTACGTTCCATTGGGAATGAAAAAGGAAGGAAGATCGTTGAAGTTGTTGGACAGATTCGTGGATTATTTCGGGTTATTTTTTTTAATGGACGGAGCGGAGAAAAGATGGATAAGATTTATATATTTGACTTTGGAAATGCGCGTGAAAGCGTGAAATTTATCGTCCGTGAGGCTAGATTCCCGAAGAAAATGAAGTTTGAAGGATGGCAAACGCAAATCTGAGACCGGAATCGGGGAACAAACTGTAATTCCTATTTCGTCGGTGAATCTCAAATAGCCGAAGTGCACTTGCGCTTCCATTACCGGAGTTTCGTGAAGCAGAATTGACTTTGCGTTGTAAGAGCAAGTTCCAAACTGATCGGAATTAGGAAACGGAGAAAGGCCCTCTGCGTTCACGATTCATTATTGAAATTAAATCGATCGTGCGTTTGTCGAATCAAAAGGGTCGAAAATCCTCCATCGATTAATTTCTTTCTTTTTTTTTTTTTCTCGCAAATTTTCGCGCCCAACACGATCCAAGATTCGAACGATTCCTC